TTGGCACCAACTCGAGGAAAGTCAGTTTGAGTGTCACATGGAGACGTGTGGTGGCGCTGAAGTCAATACCTCGTGTGACCACCGTGGGCATCCAGAACTGAACGGCATCGCTTCGGCATCGAACGAATAAGTCTCAGAATCTCGTGTTGCCCAATCGCAGCCCACTCTGCCTGTAGTGCCTGTGCGAGTTGCTGAAATGTCTGGGGCTGAGGGTTACGGCGTCGCACCCGTCTGTCCAGGGCATCCCACAGATGTTCGATCGGGTTTAAGTCCGGTGAACTTGAGGGCCAGGGGAGCACATTGATGTTGTGGTTCTGGAGGAAGTCTCTAGTGTGACGTGCTGTGTGGGGCCTGGCATTGTCCTGTTGAAACAACTCCCTCCGGCGATCAATGATTGGAAGGAGGTGTGGGCGTAGGATTTCGTCACAGTACCGTTGAGCTGTCAGGTTGCCCTGGATCATCAACAAATCACTTCTCCTACGGCAGGTGATCGCTCCCCACATCATAACATTTCCCCGGCCGAATCTGTCCACCTGGGGAACGCAAGCGTCGGCGAAACGTTCACGTCGACGTCTGTACACCCACATTCTTCCATCGCGTCGTTCCAATAGAATTCTACGCCAATTCGGTAGGTTCCAGGCCTGAACGTTGGTGCACCACTGAACTCGATGTCGACGATGTTGTTGTCGAAGCACAGGGCCAAAATAAGGTCTTCTGGCACGTAAACCAGCCTCTCTCAACCTGTTCCTCAATCCGGGTGTTTGTCGAGCGGTACTGGTCGCCGTAGCTGTTCGATGATGCAGGTGATGTACCCGGATGTAGCGATCCTGCGCCGCAGTGGTCGCTCGAGGTCGCCCACTACGAGGGGCATCTGCTACCGCATTCTGCCGGCGATATCTCTCCCAGAGCCGTGAAATGGTGCTTTGGTGAACATTCATGCGTCGGGCAACTGCACGTTGAGACTGGCCTGCTTCAAGCAAACCAATGGCGATATGACGGTTGGCTTCACTTAGACGTGGCATTTTGCGTTCGTCAACAATATTCCAAATACAGTGAATACTCGACAGACAGCGATCAACCTTTTATACCCATCATTGAGACTATCTGATCCCCAACTTTCATGGCATTGCATGTGAATTGTGTATTCCGTGACACTACACGCCGAAATTGAAAATCATGCTGTTAAATATGGGTATTTTACGGATGGTGCATTTTGTTGTGATGTTTCAAAACATAAACAACATAGGACTCATAAACAGAGCAAAACCTTTTGTAAAATGAATCACGTTTTAATTCATTGCTACATGAAATTGCTATTCTGATGATGCGTTTCTTTTTTGGGAGAGTATACAAGTGATTTGATATTGTTATACATTGATTTAACAAGATTCAGGATATTTCCCTCTATCCCAATCATTTGCAATCTTTTCCGCAATCCCACTCGCCAAACAGTATCGAAAGCTTTAGTAAAGTCTATGAAGGCATAATAGAGTTTTTGTTTTCTATTTTTCAAAATTTGCTTCAGATTATAAATCATAAATATATTGTCAACAGTGTAGAATGACTCTCTAAACCCAGCTTGGGCAGGGGTTTAAACATTATTAGCATCTAAGAAATCTGAAAGACGGTTGTTTAATATTTTAGTTAAATATTTTCCGAAACAACTAAGTAAAGTGATTGGTCTATATGAGTTAGGATAAGATTTATCGCCTTTTTCTTATAGATCGGTTTAATTATTCTCGTTAACCATGATTCTGGTAAAACGCCCTTCTGAAATATGACATTAAATAGTTCTAATAAGAATGGAACCATCAAGTCAACACTAATAGTATCTATAAAATATTCATTTCCTTTTTAGTCTATCCCCGATGCCTTACAACTCTTTAGTTGTTTAATTGCAGAAATGATTTCTTCTTTCGCAATGGCTCTATTTAAAACATCTCATGTAACGTGTGTAGCTTTGTCAGTATAATCGTTATCTCCTTGTCCACGTTGTGCTGATTCATTCAATGATGTGAAGTGCTCATGAAATACGTCGATATCTTAAAAAGAATTGTCATCCTCTTTATTTGGATTACCATTTAAGATTTTCCAAAACTCTTTCGGGTCATGTTTCTGTTTCTCTCTAAACATGTTATCTAATTCATCTGTGTACAGTCTGTTATGTTTATCCATGCATTTTTATGATTCTTAGATTCAAGTCTACAAACGCGTTTGTAATAAACATAATTTAATTTTTTAAATCGCCGTTTGGCTTTATTGAATCTTTTCCTGGCATAATGGCACCCTACACAAAACCACGGTTTACATTTCTTAACATTTTTCCTCCTTCTTTCTCTCTGACTTCGGACTCCGAATTCGGGCAGCCTCTGTCAGCACGTGATGTCACTCACCAGTACTGGGTCACCCTGCTCAAGCCTGGCTAAATGTGCCTCCTGGCTCAGATTATTTATCGTAGCGGTACGTCCGGTGTCTAAGTTTTTAATGAATTCTTTGGATTTATCATTGTCATATCGTCTTGGCCTACGTTGATGATTATGTGACTTATTGACATTATGGCGGATATTCTGTTGTTGGATGAAGCCTGCAGAATATTACTGAATATGTTGAATGTCACTGACAGTGTGCATCTGACTACAAGGGTAAAAAGTCAAGTATATTCAAATGAGTGATTAAAGGTAAGCATGAGGCAGAGCATATGACACAGTCAACAACACTAGCATCTTTACATGTTTTTCTACTATTGAGGTCTTCTAGTAATGTATTAGGCTCAAAATTAGTATCAATGTCACTTACATCGATGTCCATTCCTTCAATATTTGTTCATTGAACAAAATAGAATCACAAAGTTCTAGGCGACCCCACTGCATCAAGTGGAGATGCCACCGCGCTGCTGCGGCGCTGTTGGAGACCCGACTCCGCCCACCTCGGTGCATTTTTCATGAACGCAGCCCCTGGGTGACAGCTGTTTGAGAGGCGACTAATGGGAATGAGTGGCGCATTGACTTGGATGACACGTCATCGTATCTCCATTGCGTAGATCGATGCTCATGGGTATTTACTCGATTATTTATGAATTTAACCATAAGAAGAGAATTGGTGATATTTGACACAATGTTTCATAGTATCTTGGTCGTTCATATTGAAATATTTTAAACGTCCATTTAGAAAATGTCAAACGCATATGGCAATTAGGCATACCGTGGATGGTGTTAACATCAGTCTACATTCTCTCATTACTCCTTATAAGGACTTAATTAGGACAAAATTAATCCAATATCAGATATCATATATATTTATGTAGATGTATATAATCCAAACAAACGTAAACTTATAAATTCTTTGATACTAAAATCTGCCCATACTTCTATAATAAATTCACATAGGTTTGATAAATGATTAATGATGTTCCAGAGATTGCATGCTCTCCTATCGTGTTGTGTATTATCTAATATCAGTTGTATTCATGTATGAAAGCAATGGAAAGGTATAGTCCGTTTGGCTCAAAATCGGACCGATGAAATGCAGTCTAACTCGAAAACAACTAAACATATAGTACTCAATGAAACACTGATCATAATCAAAACATCAGACCAACTTTTCAGAATATGTCCTAAAAATTAAAAAGTTGTTTAATAAACTTTCATTAAAATCTTGACATAGTTCACTATTTGTTACAAGGGAGGGGTGCAAAGAGAGGAACCGCCAGATGTGCAAAAAAGGATGGAGACGGCATAGCACAGGTTAATGAATCAATGACTTTGTCGGTACTTGTGCACGTGCTTCGCGTACACCTATAGTTACACGGACTATAGTTAAATAAACCATAACGGCTTGTTAACCAATCCATGTTCAATCTATTTTTGAATAAATCATGTTTACACTAAAATGCCTTACTTTTGTTCATTGCAAGTCATATTTGCTGAAATTTGACAATAATATGTCAGCGTAACGTTTTCGCGAGGTCCCTGGTCAAATAATTAATTCCTTCCGTATAATATATCCGACCACGACTGTCAGGTGTATCAAAGTGCTACGACCCAGATTGTTTTAAATATATTCATTAAATGTTGCGACTAAAATAACACAATAATGAAATATGTTTATCGTGAAATGAGAGTTAACTTCCATAGGTAATCTTTCCGATCACAGCATCAAAATTGTTTGAAGTTATTTTATTAGGTATGTGTTAACCAAAATCACCGGGAGAATTTTTAGGAAGCGGATGTACAGCTGATTGCTATTATCGCCACATGATAAATAACGCCCAGCAGATCAGAAGATATCATTGAAATGGAAAATCGTTATATTTAGTAAAGTTTTATCTAAAAATTCCCGTGTCATCTGGAGTAAATACGATTTAAATTTATACCAGGTATTGAATTGTATTGCACCAGGTGAGATAAATATGCGCCACTAGGGCCCTTGATGTTGTTGTCAGTGCGCCATTGCATATTTCAATGAGTGTATGGCGCAAAGGCGCGGTCCACAATTCGTGTTCGTGTACGCTTCTGATGAAATTGAAATACAGACCACACAAGAAATGAATGATAGCTGCTTTGATAAGAGTAGGTTTGGAATGATCAGTGAATATACCGAGATAATCGATAATGTTTGACACATGGTATATCTTGCTCGTTCATAACTGATGGACCGTGGATGGCATTAACCGTAGCCTCCAGTTTTCTTTCTCTCATACTGCTGCTAAACATCTTTGGCAATATTCAGGTCTGATTAAGCGTAAGCAAATACCATTGCATTGCTGCTATTTACCAGTGAGATCCTTGATGACCTGGTGTGTTTGCTTTCTTTAGAGTTTAATTTTATAAGAAATGTAAACATGTCACATTTGTCAATAAAATACATTTAAAATTACCTTTTAATGATGATTGATAATCCTTTGAATAGGACAAAATAAAAAATAGTTAACATGACATCTATGTTCTGTTGAAGGCAGTCAACAAGCAACACTATCATAGGAAGTCGTTGCGAAATCAGTATTTCCTGAACCAGATAAACGCGTAGTGGTATCGGATAACAAGCGTGCACATGCGCAGTGATTGAAACACCTTTGTTGCCTCATTCTCACTATTTGCTTCGTGACCAGAACAGGTAAGCACGTACTTTTTAATGCTGAACCAATAACCACAATACGACATTGTTAAATAATTTATCGTACACACTGGACATTACCAGTACGTAACTTCTTCGAGGAAATATTCTTTTTCAATTTGGTTTTGGATTTGTTTGGATAAGCCAGGAAATTGGTGATCACAAAATATTTATTGAATCATTTAAACAGAGACTACATGATAATATATTCCGATCTTGGCAGTCATCTTTGGACAGTAGCTGTAATTGTTTTTACTATAAGCAATTCAAATCTTTGTTAAATGTAGAGAGCTACTTGATAAATAATGATATCCCTCAATATTTAAAAATTATATATGCCCGATTTCGGTGTTGTAATTTTAAACTAGCAGTTGAAACTGGTAGATACATTAATGTTGTACATAATGAAAGGCATTGCCTGTTTTGAAAATTAAATGGTATCTTCGTTGTTGAAGATGAATGGCATGTGTTTCATATCTGTGATGCATATTCTCATATCAGAAATAAGTACATATAAACATATATTAGTAAATGTCCACCAATTATTAATTTTATATCTATATTACAGAGTACAAATGTTATTATGATCAAGGATATATGTCTACTTTTATACTTTGTTGACAAGAAACACAAATCTAAATGAAATACATATGTGCTCTAATTAACCATCAATTGATGTATATGTATTTTGGGCCGGAGGCCTGTTACTGAAATAAAATTCTGTTCTGTTCTGTTCTGTTCTGTTCTGTTCTTATTCGAGGAAGTAAGATATCAGTGAACCAGTGTTGTACGCGTCCATCATGAAATAAAATCAATTGACATATAAATGTGGCAATATACCGCTGACCAACATGTGGTGACATGGGGTAATATATAAGATAATGGTAATATATGGCCAACAGAGCACCTCGGTCGTTCATTATAAGCGAGCAAAATGAATTTAACACAAGAAGGCTTAATGTTGTTGCAATTTGGTATGACAATTATTGTGGTACTTGTGATAACATGATCATAATTCGGCAATTTAACACAGATACGTACTTCTGTCATTTGAATAAATGCGCAAATATTAAAAGCACGCACGTTAATGCTGAAACAATAACCATAATATGATATTGTTAAATACTATATTGTACAGAATACGAACTTTATCATCTTCTCTGATCCTCTGTCTTGTCGCCAGGCACGTCCTGGTTTATCCTTGATAAATCTGTCTCTCCACTACGGATACCCTACTCTGATTTTAAACCTATATCAGAGAGTATATTAAACATTTAATGCAAACAAAGTGGAACGCCCAAGTAGGTATAAAAATGCTTCATGAAATTAAACAAACTTTAGTTTATGCCTACTTGGGATGTCAATCAAGACATGACAAATTTGTAATGCGACTATGTCGATTTGGCCATACGCGTTTTACCCAAGAGCATTTGTTAAAAAATGAGGATCCTGGGTAGATTTATCTCTCTCAAGGGATATTTATTGTGATTCATCATCTTTAAAGGATCTTTTTACGAGTGCAAATGCTTATGTAATACTTGTCTTTTTTTTAAGGAAATAGAATTGTTTGATAAATTTTGAAAATTTAAATTGTGTTAATGTGAAGATATCGCAACTGAGATCATTGATGGCGTTGCCACTCAGGGGGTTAAAGTACTATAAACTCATTGTACCCCTGGACGTGGCATGCGAGTGAATCTAAATCAGTATATAACATCAGCTACTTAATATTTTGGTTTTTACCATTGGTTAGCATTACATACAACCACAAGAGACCAATGTGATGGCGAAAATCCTGCTGGGACATCATTTTGGAAGCAGAGGCACCTTATGTCCCCATGATGCCCAGTAAGGTGGTCTAGTTTTGGTTGCTAGTGGTCTATAACCTAGGTTTAATATATTGTAAACCATCATGTTTTAATACTGACGTGGGTTGTTTTATAATTGAACTGTGATATCTATCTTACTGTTTAATTGTCCTTCGCTGACAAGCATTAAATAAGACATAAACTTTTTCTCACCACTATATGGCTGCAATATTGCGATGTAAACATTTAACTCACTCACACTCACTCGTACAAACTGGACATAACCAATCAGTACCTATGTGAGGAAGAAAGACATCAGTGAACCAGTGATACGTGTTCATCATGAAATAAAATCAGTTGACATAAAATGTAATTGTGGCAATAAACCGCTGACCAACACGTGGCGACATAGGGTAATATATGAGATATTGGTGAGATATGACCTCGGTCATCTAGTACATGTGAATATTCGAGCAAAATGAATTTAACACAGGACGGCTAAATGTTGTTTCTGACGGACGTAATACATGCTGTGGGATTTGTGATAAGATGATAAACACAGATACGTACTTCCCCGCTATTTGAATAAAAGCGCAAAGGGTTCAGAGACAGCTTGGCAACTATAATATTTAAACGCCTTACGGTTTGGCAATGATGGATGAATAAGACTACAAGATAGGGATACTCACTCTCTCGCACGTACCCCCCCCCCTCTCTCTCTCTCTCTCTCTCTCTCTCTCTCTGCAATATGTGTTATGTTCATGTATAACATATTGAGTTGTTTGTATTTACAGCGACAAGTCACAGAGGATAGAAGTATGAAAGTGTCATCCATCATAAAAACCACAGTAGTTTGTCTCTCCTTCTTCCTCTTCTGCAGCATTTATTTTGTTTATCCTCATCCCAAGACGGGCCTTGTAAAACAGGAAATCACCCCTGACATTGTTGGAACTATCGCAAACGAAATTATCAAGTTTATAGCCAGAAATATGACAACAAAAACTGATAGGTTCGACTGTTTCCTCGGAAGAAAACATTCTGGGATCGATCTGTTGACACAACGCCATGCTGGTGATAATCAAGAATCACCTGAGACTAATGCTAAAAAGGCTTTGTTTTATGACCGATTACTACTGAAAGAAAAATTGGAATTTAGAAACATCATCAAAACCTTCAGTGAAGGCGTGCCTAAAAACATCACTTATTTCCTCTATGCAGGAGCTTTACTTGGTTCCTACTCTCATCACGGCATGATTCCTTGGGACGACGATCTGGACATTATAGTGAGGGAGAAAGACATGCCTTTACTTCTCACATTCCTGCAGTCCCTCAGGCCAAAATATGACCACTACACCAAGTGGAAGGTGAACTGGAAATTGTACCACAAAACGTCCCCAAAGGCTGGCTCGATGGCTTGGAAATGGCCATTCGTCGATATATTCTTTTATTCTGAACACCCTTCATTCATCCAAGATTGTAGAAATACAGAAAAGAAATTCAACAAGACTGATGTGTTTCCTTTGATCAAACGCCCTTTCATGGGAATGATGCTGCCAGCGCCAAGACACACCCGTAAGGTTTTGGAGTCGACTTACACTATCGATCTTTGTGTATCGAATTCATATGATCACAGATTGGAAAAAAATGTGCCATCAAAATGTGTTGTGAAACTCCCTTGTGACTTGCTGAAAGACAAATTTCCTTTCGTTGAAAGACAGAAATCAAAGAACACATCTATTGAAGTGTTCGATGCTGCATACTGCAACCAAAGCGTATATGAAACTACAAATATATATTAAAGTATTTAACATTATTACCTTGTGTGAAGACTAACATCATCATAACAATGCTGTAGAATAGGTTCTGTGTAGCCAAAACCATTTTTGTTGGTGATATGATACTCAAAGCATTTCTATGAGACAACATATCCTGTGTTAAAACATAAAATATAATGAATCAAGTTTACATGTTATATATGTATTTTGGTGGCACTTGCTTAAATGTACCACTGGAACTTCCGTGGGATGTGTTATGCATTTCAGCGTCTACCATTATTCCCGCACTATGATCGGGTTACATCTGCTTACTCCTTGAAAAAATACCTATGTCCTATTTTCTCGTGTTTGGAGTGTTTTCTACGGATATCATGGGAGTGGCCAATATGGATAAAAACAGTGGCGACGTAATTAAGCATTGGCTACCGATGGCAAGAAAATATATCCTTGCATGGTCATGAAAACAGAGTATCTGAAATAAATAGCTGGCACTTTTGCCATTGAATCAATATATTTCAGACATATATATTTGCACAGTTTACAGATAATTTCTCAGACAGAACGAAGTCGCGCCTCATTGTTGTATACGGTGAAAAGCAATAAAATGTTCACAATATACTATGTCCAGTTGCATGTTATAAGTGAATATTCGATAACGTTTATTACCTTTGTTTTGGGTTTTTGCCCTGTTGTTGTTGTTGTTGTTGTATATCTACCGATCATGTCAAAGCTAATGTAAAGAAGATATACAAACCCATGTTATATTTAACTGTAAATTGTCCGGCGGCATATTCCCTAGTATGCCCTATGAAGATAAAAATGTAAACTGATAACACAAAAGAATAAGGTTCAGACTATCTTTCATTCCAGTGAGCAATAGAGGTGAAAGGATGAAAATATTTCAATGACTGATTAATACAGGCTTGGAGAGAAGGTTAAATACGTTCTGGTCTGTGCAGCATTCGCCACTCATACAACTGCATGTTAATGTTCTAACGTCACAGTACACACACCATGCCAATGTTGCCTGCATCAACTGGAGTCTGGACAAACCAATACAGTGACATCATAGCGAGTTGACTGATTTGGTTTATTACTGGTAGCGTAATTTCAGTACTTTTATGGCATTCAATAGCAACAACGAATATAAAGGCTTGGTATTAGCAAAATACCGTTTACTAGTAACTCATGTTTTTTTATGCAAATTGCGTTCCTTCACGCTCAATACGCACGATTCTTTGAAGCTTTAAATCATGTTATGTGTTAGTGGATGTACATGATTTCAGACTGAAAGACACGATATGGCCTAACGTTCTATCGGACCTCAACCTACAACTGGTATGTAAAAAGGGCAAGATCGCTGTATTGTTGCCTGGCGAGATGCAATAAATATCTACTTTATACCCCGTGGTATGCTAGACTAAGGTATGCGATCACAAGCCCCCTTTATTTGCTACAGTGGGTCAACCAGTAGACTTGAAAGTTGAACCGTTATCGTGGAGGCCCTCTACAAACTGGGATCCGGTTGTCATGCTCCCAGACTTGGTTGACACATAGTATCGTATCCCAGTTACGAAGATCAGTTCTAACTCGGATAATCACGGGCAGCCTTCCTTTCAGTGAAAAGATACAACAAATGTAGCCATATGTACATATGAAAAAAAGCCACAATAACTAGGTGCGCCTAGTGGCTGCAAGAGTTGTATACTCCCCAGGGAGTTAGGATTGATAATACGATGTGCCACTGAGATTGACATCCAATGATCGAGGGAAAAATATCAGCGCCTTGAGTAAGCACTAGTTGCCAGGATATGTGCCCTATATAAATAACCTATAATAATAATAATAATAATAATAATAATAATAATAAAGGGGCCTGATGATGTACGCCTCTTCGTGGTGAGCCTAGATAGGGGAATTATATTCCCTGAACTGAACGTACATCACCCAGTTAGGGCTGACTCCCCGAAGGTGGGAAATTACTTGGTTACAGACAGCCAAGAAGAATTCAATCTTTCACTTCCGCAGCCCAGTCAGCCTTCCTCCGGTAAAGAAACAAACCATACTGGAGATGGGACTTGCCCCAGGGGAAGGCAGAGAACCCGGCCAAGAATATCTTGGTCAAACCATCTCAAATCCACACTGCTTGAGTGTGCGAAAGCGACAGGATGGCCTGATAATCCACGCATCAAGAAGATGCCAATGAAAGGTTCTGGAAACAGTTGTGGTCTCTACCCGGCAACTGTAACCTTGAGGCACCATGGGTCCGTGATTATGACCATGCAATGCATGAGAAGGTAACTAGGTCGTTTGTCTGTTACATCTCACCAGATTGCCTGAAAAGTGTTATAAAAAAGTCCAAATCTAGTACAGCTCCAGGGCCTGATGGCATTCGAAATCGGTATTGGAAACTGTTCCCCTGTGTCCAAACACCATTACTACACTGTTTCAATTCTCTCGTGGACACAGGTGATGTTCCTCCATGGTTCTGCAAAGGTCGCACAATACTTCTCCCCCAAGAAAGGAGACTTGACTGATCCCAAAAACTTCCGCCCTATCACATGTTTGAATACACAATACAAAATATTCACAGGGTGTTTGACAAACCTCGTGTCATCTTACTGCTCTTCCAATGATATAATTTACAGAGAGCAGAAGGGAGCAAGAAAGGGATGTTGGGGGTGCAAGGATCAACTTCTTGTACAAAAAATGATTTTGGAAGAGGCGAAAACATATCACCGCAACCTCTCCATGTGCTGGATTGACTACAAAAAAGCATACGACTCTGTCCCTCACGAATGGATTCTGAAGTCTCTTCATTGTATTGACCTCCCTGAGCGACTACTTGATTTACTCAAGTCTTTAATGAGTTGCTGGTCGACTCAACTTGAGATGTACTCGCAAGGGCAGGTGCAGACTTCGGAATCTATTCCAATCAGAAGGGGAATATTTCAGGGGGATTCCCTTAGTCCTTTGCTTTTTTTGTCTGTCTTTAAATCCTTTGAGCTTTCTGCTCAATAAAGAGGAGGGTTACCATCCCGGACCTCCTCAGCACAGATCCCCAACACCTCTTACTCATCTCCTTTACATGGATGATATCGAGCTCCTTGCCAAAGGAGATACCAATTTGAAAGAGCAGGTTCTCCTTGTCGAGTCCTTTTCTAATGATATTGGCATGACATTTGGACTCGACAAATGTAATACTCTTCATTTGAAACATGGCAAGGTAACTAATGATGGCTCGGTCAAGTTACAAGGGGGAGGAGTTATTGAGCATCTTGTGGAAGATCAGGCCTACACCTATCTTGGAATGCAAGTTCGAGAGAAGCTCCAGAATGCCCAGATTCAAGACAAACTTCGGGCCGAGTACAAATCTCGTTTAAAGAAAATCTGGAGCTTAGAGCTAAATGCTCGAAACAAGGTCAAAGCCACCAATACTTTTGCTGTGCCAGTCCTTTCTTATTCCTTTGGAGTAGTTGATTGGACAAAACAAGACATCCAGAGTCTTGACCGCCTGACCAGAAGGATCATGTCTGACAACAGAGCCCACCACCCTCGTTCCTCTCTTAACCGTTTATACATGCCAATCAATTCTGGAGGTCGGGGTTTGATTAATGTGGAGGCTCTTGATGATAGAATTTTATTGTGTACTTTTGCACATATTTATTTATCGGATGATCCTCTGGTGATGCATGTGAAGACTCATGATAAAAACAAGGAATTCCACAGCTATTTTAAGCGTGCCAAGGCTGTTGGACAGAATCTGAGATTTCAGGTTGATTTTGTTGACGGCGATGTACTGCTGGACGGTACAATGATGGGAGTAAACCAGGTGAAGTCCTTCACCAAGTCTGCCCAGAGTCGGTCTTTTGTGGAGAAGCTTTCTGAGAAGCCATTGCATCGTGTGTACATGCAGTGTGTTGAACAGAATAGCAATCCTACCGACGCCTTCGCCTGGATGAAGTCGGCTGGTCTTAACTGTGAAACTGAGGGCTTTCTTTTTGCTGCTCAGGACCAGTCACTTCCCACTCGCAATCGCCTAACTGTGATTCTTAAAGAAAATATCAATATGAAATGTCGACTTTGCAATGAATTCACGGAGACTGTCCAACACCTTGTCAGTGGATGCCCTTCCTTGGCACAAACAGCATATCTTAAACGACATGATGGCATGGCTCGTTGCTTTACTACCGTCTCCGACGTGCCTGTGGTTTGACTCCGAGGTCCATCCATGGTACGACCCTGAACATGTCCAGGGCGTCATGGAAAATGATGCTTTCAAACTTCTGTGGAATAGGCCCATATACAGCCTCAGAAGAATTCCAGCCAACAAACCTGATCTTGTCCTTTTTGATAAAGCCAATGAATTTATTTATATCATTGAATTTTCTGTCCCTTTTGACACCAATGTGATTGGCAAGATTCAGGAAAAGCATGATAAATATGCGGACCTCGCCTTTGAAATGTCTCGCTTGAATCCCAAGTACACTGTCGCCAGGCTCCCCATTGTTCTCGGTGCCCTTGGTTTGGTACCTCCTGATCTCTTGGCGCAGATCAGGAGAGTGCCCGGATTCTCCACCGGGAGCACAGCCCTTCTGACACTCTGGGTAATGCAGAAGGCTGCAGTGTTGGGGAGCCTTCATATTCTCCGGAAAGTTCTTGGTGGGTTCGACTAGGCAGCGTTTCCTGGGAGAAGTCCCATTCGCTGTCTGGGCTGCGTGTAGAGGGGGCGAGGGCCATGAGCTGATGATGAGCCTTACCAGCCTGACTGTGCCAGGATCACCCGAACCCTCTCTGCTGCATTTTCATCTTTAATCTGTAAAATAATAATAATAATACATGATTTTGGCAGCAAATTTGTACTTTTTTTAAACTTTAACAATTAAAGAACACTGAAATTTTACTTACTAAACTATTTTATCTGATGACAGACATTCGTGATTATCATGATGGCATTCGAAAAACATAAATGATATTAAAGGTATTGTATATTTAAAAAAAACTGTATGTGGTAGTTCTGTACCATGCCATTAAATAACGTTAACATTTTGACTAGCATTGCAGGAAACACGGCGCAAAAACTGTCGATCCTAGTAGCAGAGACCTACTTCTGTATTAGTGAGTGAGTTTAGATTTTATTTCACATCAACAGTACACTATATAAACAGTACTCTATGAAAACAGGAACTTAATTAAGAACCCCCTGTATTTTTGCAATGATAGATTTTTCAACACGTACATAAAACCTCTCGTGGTGACCACGATGGAAAACATGTGTTCTTCGGACCCGAATGATCCTTTGACTCATAAAAACCGACAAAATGATTGGAATCCATGTTGATTTTATTATTAGCTTTACATTTTACATTTTAGGCGTTTAGCTCCGTCAGTTATGTGAATGCAATTTACGAAAAACTACGAAAAACAAGGGACAACATGCGACAACTACATCCAAGAGATAAAGGTTACAAGGGGTCGAGCAGTCACTGGGCTACCCATGCCCAAAGCTCAGATAAAAGCTGAATTGAAAGTAGGATCCAAATAGGGACAATGGTTCCTTTCACATACCAAAAACATGCCACTTTGCAAATATCATGGAAATCAATGCACCGCAGACACAT